GGGCCGTAAACGTACTCGGCAGCGGCACGCGCGCCATCACAGCCCGTTCCGCTGACGTACGGGGCTGGTGTGCAGCCTGCGCTACCCATCCGCTCCCAGAAAACTAACTGCACCCAGGAAAATGCTCAAGGGAAAATAAGAAATGCAGAAGGAACAAACTGACCTGTCGCATGGAGTATAATTATCCCCAGGTAACAGAGCTACATTTCTTTAGGTAGGGGAAAGTACAGTTACAAATCATAATATATGTGATATTTTAGGATTTTAAAATAGAAAGCAATTGACTCTATTGATCAAGAAAATTAAAATGTTGCCTGAACAGGCAAATTACACTGCAAAACACATGGAAACCTTCATCAAAGCTTATATTCTAAACTCCCGATACAGATATCAACCTCAGGAGTAAAATGATCCAATTCAAACATACAAATATACCAAGAAATGTACCAATTTATACTATCTAAGGCTTCCTTAAAGTACGAAGCTTCCATTGCCGTTGCTCATGACTGCAAATACTGATACTAGTTAGGTATATGTTAGTCTAGCATCTAGTTATGCTAGACCATAACCTTACAAAATTTGTACTCTGGGAAGACCTTTTTTCATTACAGGATCTGTTTTCCACTCAATCCTGTTACACAACATGTAAATCTCTTCCCAAGACTTCTATGCAAACAAAAATATAAACCATGCTTGAAACACACCGCTCTTTTTTTCCGCTCTTCAAAATGCCTTAAAAATTACAGGTTTGACCATGTGATAATGTTATTTGCCCATTGCCTAATTGACATCGCATTCTGATACAACCTTGTCTATCAAAAAAACCTCTCTTTGGCACATCATGCTCAGACACAAGTCCAATTTGAATCAATTTCTAAATTATAACAATGGAAATTTTGGCCCAAGTAGAGAGATTTGCAGGATACTAAGTAGCTGCCTAAATGCTACTTAATGCTATGGCATGGATTTCAGAAGTGTATGCACGTTTTAAAAGAAAAAAAGAAAGAGCAAGATGGCCAGCAGATACCTCTGCAATGTTAGGCTATTCATGGTATAATGCACACTCATACCAAATTAATAATACCAATCCAATGACAGAACAGTATATAAAAGAAAATGTAACGCTGCCCTTGTGGCACTCGGGAAGGAAAAAAAAAAATCCTATTCAAACTCGTATGCCCAAAAGGAAAGTAAAGTTTTTAAACTATTTTTCAAACTATTTTTCAGTTTATACAAAGTTACATAAACGACAGTAAGATGCTCCTACTTCAAACACAGGTCTGCTACCCTGCTAAGAGAACTACTCATTATCTTCCACCTTTATGCACCTAGTGGTTCTTAAGACCCTGGCTTAACACAAAGGCTATTTGGTGGACTTGCTTTGTCTTCAGTTAAGCCATCAATATCACTTGGGATACTCTAACAAATTAATGTAGTCGGCAGCATGAGTTAAATAATGCCCACCAATCCCATGCTTGGATTCAACATCTAGAACAGATGAAGTTGCATTATACTAAAAGAGAAAAAAGGGGAAAAAAGTCTCATTCAAATACACCCTAAAATGTTCAATTTTAAACGCTAGATTTAAAAAATTCTTGGGCAAGATTGTTCACTACATCTCTAAGCTCAACATACACAGTCCAGAAGGTTGAAGAATGTTGCTTCAGGCCTGGCTCCTGGAAAAGCATGAGTGGTAACTTAAATATGGTGGCAAGCCTACATTGCCTGTCCTTCCCCAGAGCCTCACCTCCATGCTTGCAGGCTTTCTTTGTCTACTTGACTGCTGCATCTGGCCTTAATTCACTTCTTTAAGACCTATCTTGAAAAAAATCCTTGGAAAGAAGATGCCTTCTAGTACCTCTCTGATTTAGAGAGCCTGGGAAAAAATAAAGTGAAGATCTCGCCGTACATACAGGAGGCAGGCTCACGATCTGCTCACCATAGTTTAACAAGCTACCATTTCCAGATGAATACAGCACTTGGGTATGCTCTCAGCCTTTTGAATACGTGAAGTACCACCCTAAATGCAAATTATCACAAGTTACTGGAGTTGTGGGAACTACCCTGACAAATGTAGTAACTTGTGAGGTCACAGCAATTTGACCAGAAGTGAGAGCTCCATTTCAAAACTGAATTAAAACCTGTATTCCCTCTCTTTCTAATTAACTTTTTATAAATGATAGTGTTGATTAAAAAAATGCATAGCATCAAGCTTCATAAGGTTTTGCTAGGAAAACTTAGTTTTGTTTTTATAAAATAATTAGTGCCTACTTCATTTTGCTGCTCCCACCCCCTTAATGAAATTCCTTTTCCATCCCTCCCACTGCCCAGTTTCTTCTTCCCTGTCCTCCTCCAACTCTGCATATGTCACTACTTACCCTCCACTACTCTGATACACAGATGTATGTATTCAGTTACTCATTTTTCTTCATTTCCTAACATCTAGATTTACTGTTCAGCTGCCTCACTGCTGTCCTCTTTAGACCTCCTCCTTTCTTAAAGTTGCTTTGGACTGGTATCACTGCTTCCAATCGCTTTTTCAGGTGTTCAGGGTGTTTCTCTGCACTACACATAACAGATGCAAGAGTGTGACAATTCTCTTTGCTAGTGGTCTACCAACCAGAGTTTTGGAAGAACTGTGATACCTCTGACATCAATAATTTAAAATATTATTAGAACTTCTTTGAATAAAAAAAAACTTTTATTCCCGATATGCACTGAAACCTATCCAGTCCCTTTGAAAAATCTTTAGAAGTGAAACAGTGTTTAAAAACTGCTTTTTAAGAGAGATACTCCTATATTATTTCATAATTCTTTTGGGTTTTTTTAAGCGTAAGTTATGGAGCTAAGTAAGATTTCTTCAGGGACAATATGGATTAATAATAGATGCAGAGAAAGAGCAGAGCTGGTAAGTGCACTCACACCCTCCTAAGTCTCACTGGATGTGAAAGTGTTTCTAAACAGCATATTCTGGAATGCTGACATGACTACAGTTGTTTGATATGTAAGAAAAACACTGGGCTGGAGGGTGAACTGGATTTCACACAACGGAAAGAGATAATGGGAACATGGCAAGTATGAAGTTGTGATTTTGGAAAGAAATATCAGAGGATTGAAAGTGCAACAGAAAAATAACAGTTGGTTCTTGAAGATAAATATAAAAATAAACCACAGCAAAGAAGACCAGCCCATGGCACAGTCCAAGAGCAGCTGTTCATGATATTACTACATAGATTCTCTCAGTAGGTTTGATTGAACTAATTGAAGTCAAGGGAAGTCACTCCACTGACATCAGCAGGCTTCATTCAGGCCACTCGTGCAGTCCTTCTGATCCTTCTTCCTTTCATCTAAGCTGAGAATCCTCCCCATTTCACTGAACAGTACCATTTCCCATTTCTCTAAGAACCTGTGCCTGTACCCACGCCCCCCCCACCGATTTTTTTTTAACCAGCCGCATCTATGCCTGCGTCAACCCAATAAAATTTATAGAGTCTCTGCACCCTTCTTGTAACAGGCAGGAGCAAAGCCCATCGAGTATATTAGCGCTAATGGGCAGGCAGTGGATTGAGGAGAGACTCAGGAACTCTGGGACCATTAGAGTAATTGCAAGCAGTGAAAACACACACACACAGTTAAAACAAAAGGGAAATTATTTACTTTTGCTTATTTAAGCCATGCACAGGGAGTACAAAGCTTTTTCATGCAAATTATTTACAGTCCAAATACAGTACAAGGCACGTTGAAGCACAGGTCCAAATTTTTTACGTAGTGTAACAGCCTCATGGCTAGTCAGAATATCTGCTAACAGAACATTTTCAAAAGCAATTTCTACCCTCATGGAGCCTGCCATTATTGGATTTAAGTATTTACTATGTTTTGAGCTAGTGCTTTAATATTTTTTTCTGGTGTGTATGTGACAATGTTGACAGGAGTTTCTATCAGTTCAGGATACTAACTAGAGAGACTAAAGTATTATCAGACTGTATTGGCCAAATGTTTGAAAGCAAGAAATTTCCCATTGCTTCTATTTCCTTCAAATACTTAATATTTTCCTTTGGGGAAGTAACTTGTGTTTTATCATAATGATTTCTATTTGCTTCTGGAGCATGAGTCATGCTCTTCAATTATTTTCAGTTGATTGTGTAATTAGTAGTGAGAATGAGGCTAGTCTTTACTCAGTTTGGGTTTTTTTAATAACAATTTCTGCTTACCTTCAGGTGAAGTACCTGGCTTTTGAGAAAACGCAGAGCTTATTTTACTCTTCTTGCTGCTGTTGCTGTTGACAGACAAGGTAGACTGAATTTTTCTGTGCATTTTTTCTGAAACAGGTGATGAAAGTTTTCTGTTGTCTGCAGGTGTGTGCTTGACCCCGTTGTGAATTCCACTTCCATTACTCAGACCCACGTGGCCGTTTTGGATTTTGCCACTTTCTTCCTCACCCCTTTCCAGTGCTGAAGTATTCGGCTGAGGCAAACGTTGAGGTTGTGCTTAAAATGAAAGAAAGAAAGAGTTAATTTAAATTGTAAATAGATAATGGAACACTTTAGGCTAGACTGGGGCGGTAACTATCATTGCTCTTATTGATCAAAGAATAGACTAAAAAGTTAACATTACCCCATCAAAAAAAGAAGCCAAAAAATATCTGTAGATTAAAAATAATTATTATGTATTCAGAAAGAACCGCATGTCTGCATAAGGCCTAGATTCCCCCTTCATCACGGCCCGGAAATGTTCGCAATGTGAATTAGACGGAAAGAATAAGGCAAGCAATTTGAAGAAGTTAAAAATCAGGAATGGGAGAAAAAGTAGCAAACTGAGGTAAACTTGGGTTAAGGGAGCCAAATGAAGAATGGGGGAAATGCAACAGAAGGAGAGAAAAAGGTATGGGAGAGAAGATACAGACTGCAGTAACAGAAGTGAGCTGCAGGTTGGCCAACTTGCCAGTCTTCAGAAAACAACCTGAGTGACAAGGTGGGGTCCCCCTGACAATGAGCCACCACAGATCGGTATATTAGAGAAGAATAGGAGTATCCACGAAACCAGCAACAAGTTTGAGCTTAAATTCATAAATATAGTGGATTGCTGGGAAGAACAAAACCATTCAAACACCGCACTGCAGCAAGCCAGAGTCCCCCCTGCCCATATTCCTCAATTCAGAATCACAATTTTAAAAATGGCTGTAATGGGCCAGTTAGGGCTTTAATGGCAACAAACTGAAACAGTCAAAGGAAAAAAATACAAGGCCTGTCAAGGCAGGAATCTGCAGGTAGCCTGGTTAAGACTCCAATAGTACATGTTATAAACCCATTCTAATGAGATGGCATGAAACTTGACCGTTCTTTGTTGAGCTACTCTATCATAAAGGAGCATATTTTTAATAACGTGGAAAATACGTTGTCTATGGATTTAAAGTCTGTATATAAAGAACAAAAAAGATGCAGGATTTTTTTTAATGTAAAGCTTTGTAGTGAAAAAAGTAGTTTCCAATTAAAGATTCTTATTTAGAAAAAAAATGCAGATTTCATTCGAAAACTAATTAAACTATACACATAGTAACACAACAAGATTTCATAATCAAAAAGCAGCAGTCCAATCACCTCTCCTAATCAAAACACTACTGTATCATGCTTGGCCATGAGGATGTTTTCAGATAGTCCAATCTTCAAGTATTTATAAATCTATTGTCAAGGAAAAAGCCCAGATTCTACTGAACACTCAACTGAAGAGAGATTAGACAGCGCCAGCAGGAAAGAAAAACAGTGCTGCAGTTCATTCTCTTTTCAGATGATTCACATCCATTTGCAGATGATTTCACAGTACAGCCTTGTATGTAGATTACACTGTGTCCAAGATAACAACATGTATAGCTAGTTATAGTTAGCTTCCTCTAATAGAAATGTTTCCACTGATCACTTCAGGTGACAAAACTTTCGGACAAGTACTACTGGGACACACAGACCAACATGGTCTCTAAAAAGATGCTCAATTCTGAATTAGCCTAACAAACCCTCATTATAAAGGACACTGATAACATTCTCAGACTGCTTCCTCCAACTATCATACACTTGTCTAGATTAAACTTCATATAAATCTTAAATTTTAACTCCTGGTCACGTTCACACGCAGAAAGAGATACTTTTCGTAATAGTTTAAATATGAACAGGTTCACTTTTTCTTGCCATTTGATTTTTTTATTCACAGCAACTAAGATTTTAAGATGATACCCTAGCCTACCCGCATCTTATCCAGATCAGAGTAACCCTGGTTGAACCTACTTTACAAAAGTGATAATTTTGTGTTGCAGGAAAGAAAGGGAGGGCTGGGGGAAACATTTATGCTTTAGTCTCCCCAAAGATGTTGCAGAGAAGACAAAGATCATTCCCTTCCATTACCAGCAGTAACTGATCACAAACCTCCAAGCCAACAGAGCAGGAGCACAACACTATCTGACACCTGAACAACTAACTGTTGCCCAAGAAGTTTTCCATTGGCAATATTGAAATGGCTTCTCCTTTCAACTTTGTGTTAGTGTTTGCAAAACCTATGAACAGAAGCATAAGCAAGGCACTTCCTTCACTCCGGAATTCATTTTGTAGTATATATTCTGTTAAGATTTCCAGACTTTTGTAAAGGCCACAAAACAAATTTTTAGGGAGTTTTCTCCTGCCTGAATAGGATTAATCTTTCCACGTATGTGCAAAATTAATTTTGTTAAAAATCAATCGGTATTTCTTCCATTTTAAAAATAGTCAATGTAGACCTAACCACAGTCAAAACCAAAACCTTTGGCAACGTCGGGAATCAAAATCTTACTCTCTAAAATTCAGTGTTCATATGCATAGCTCCCCACAGCTTTATTTTCATTACCCAACTCAAAGGTAAATTGTCCTATTAAGGAACAGTGTTTTTCACGTTCCATGTAATGATGTTTCCTCACACTGTGCTTGGCTATGATTCCCAACTGTGGGATAGTGCAGATGCACCAACAACCTAGAATTACAGGGGAGGGGTTAACCTTCCTCAATAAATAAAAGCAATAGACTGTACTAAAAATTCTCTGTGTCTGGACACGCAAGTTTCTAAAACTGACAGTTATGACCTTTTCCAAGCCAGCTAAATTGGTGGTGGCAGCTTACAATTGTTTGTATATTTTTGGTGCTTTGCTACAATGCAGTAACTTGACAAATTATCCAAAACTCAATCTTCAAAATTAGGTGTGTTTCTGTCACACTGTAGGTGAATGGGAAGTCTTGGGGACTCTAAACAGTTATACGGTTTTGCTTTTATTATTATTAAGGGTTTGGGGAATTTTTTGGTGTTGTTTTTAAATTTTTTTATTAAATAACCCTGTTCCCAAAGTACTCTTACTTCAGTCTTTTATCATTAACATACAACTTTTTAGCTGACTGGCTTTACAATATTCACATGTGATACACAGGTCAAATCAAAATGGAATAAAACCCCAAATGGATTAGTTATCTCAATTTAAATTTATTTTAACTTTATTGATAATTTTGCACTAGGGAGACTTGAATCTTATGGTTAAAACACACTTGAAACCAATTAGGAACCATATAACCGCATTTCTAGCATAAAGAACAAAAGCAATTGACAGTTCCAAGATTAAGCCACAACCACTCTGTTTAAAACAGAAATATTTTTACCTTATTTTTTAAAGGTTGTGTATATCTTAAAAAAAAAAAAGGTGTAATATGGGGAACGACACAATGCTTCTTAAAACACAGTGATACCCAGGGACTCTCACTCTCTCTTTAATGATCCACTGCTCTCATTCAGCTGTCTTTCTTTTTTCAAATCTTTACATATGTGACAGCTCTCAAAAGTAGACCATAGACCATCTGGCATTTTCAGAGGTGTAACTTGTGCAAATTCAGCTCTACTGGGAACACAATGCTATCTTCTGCCTGCGTTATAAAAGATACAATAGAATGTAGAACTTATGAGTTGTTTTGAATTATTCATTTTTTGCCTGTATATTCAAGAAATTTTACAAACTCTGCATTTTGTACTACATAATCACATGCGTTAAAGGTACAAAGAAACTTTTTGACACCTCTTTTCTACAGAAAGATGGCATTTTGTTTGATATGTGAACATTCAGTGCCCGTTATATCATTCTAAACAGGCCGTGTGCTGCTACAAAAGATCCCATTTTACACTCTATGTATGAGCAAAAATTTTATTCTCGATATTCAGTAACTAATGCAATACACATGAAAATTTCAAATATGAGTTGGATGAACATTCAGCATCTTCAAATCAGGATGGCACTGGTCACTTACTATATGTTAAAGATTTAAAAAAAAAATCATTCCTCACACAACATAGAAATACTGTCATTTCAAATAGGTGAATGAATGATAGTTGAATAGCTTCCAATGTCCTAAGAAATACTGTGCTTTTTAAGTTAATATGTTTTTAATCTTTAGCAAAACCAGTAGATTTAAGTCAATATTTTATACAGTGCTAACACTAGTGGATTTTCAATAAGAATGATAAATACTGGATTAATGATTCAATAGACTGAATCTTTTTTGATAGAAAACTAGCAGATAATGTAGCTAGTAATAACTATACATGAATCTGCTGCCTGTGGAAAAGCAATAAAAAGGCAATATATATTGCTATAGCATATAATCTATTAGCGTGTTTCACTGCTTCCTTGTCATTGGTTTCCTTGCAAAGTGGGCCTTAATACAATAACTTCTGCTGTTATTTAACGGACTTTACGTAATAATTTAATTGTGAGGCTACTATCTGGTGAATAAATATTCCAGTACTAAGCATTTACTATGGTTTTGATGGTTTTGAAGTAACTATGCGCATTCTCATTCAGACTGTCAAATCCTTCAAATCCTTAGCGCAGTTTAAATGAAGAGGCATGTATATATGCACACTGACAATACATTGTTTACACCTTGCAAAATAACAGCTCTTCTTAGAAGAAAAATGCCGATGCATGCATTTAACGGAAAAATGTATGTCAACAGAAGGAAGCTCTCAGCCAAAAGAGGACAGTCTAAGCTATCATTAGGGATTTTCGACAAAACACAAAAACAAACATACATGGAACATAGACTCCTCGAAGTCAAAGTGAATCAAAAGAAAACATCAGGAGGGAGAGAAAAATTGAGGGAGTTAATTAGTAGCCTAATCACATCAAAAGCAATTCCAAGGCAGCTGATACAGATGCCCGTGGAGTTTGTTAGGCTGGCCAGTGCCACCACTGGAAAAAAACACTTTCCCAGCCTGGGTCATCTGACTGCATACCCAGAGAGGTAAGAACGCTGTTTTTCTTTGCTTATGACACAATAGATTATGACAGCAGATCAGGCCACAGAAGCAATATTTTTGCAGGTGGACTAGGGAGGAATAAAATGCACAACTCCTGGGTGTAAAATAATCTAACCTTTGGTATTTTCAAATATTGAGAAAACATGAAGTATCATTTCATTTGCAAATATCC